CATTTCATTTTGTTATCAAGAGGACAGAAGTGACTCAAAATATGAAAGTCAGGTCGATGTGCAGATAATTCAGGGCTCGAGCCTTGAAAACTTATTTAAAGGGGAGCTTGTGTCTGGTTGGTTCGGGTGTGATGTCTCTCGCTCAGGAAATCTCTGATAGTCCCGGATCTCAGGCTCCGGCAACACTAACTTATTCACAAACAAGCACATTTGATCATCGATGCAATGAAATCAACACATTCCAAGCGTTTACTGGGTCAGTAAATTGGCTCGACTGACAAAGCAAAGAAAGGACAACAGCCCATTAATGTGTAACAAACTTGCATGGAAAAAAAGATCTGAAAGGAAATGACTTTGATGCCATAGCCTGACTCAAGCAGAAGTTATGTCGGACTCCACAGGGATAGTAGTCTCAACAAGCTTCTTCTGGCCAAAAGTTTAGCCAAAAGATTTCTCCAGGATTCCACGGCCTTAAAATAATCTGCAACACTTCCTGAAAGTCAGAGTTCAGCATTTGGAGATGACTGTCTGGGATGCACTGCAAGCTGTATCTCAGGGCTCTGGGATGGATGAATGCAATTTTTGTTGAAATTGGACCCACCTACTACAACAACAACAACAAGATTGCATTTATAGAGCGCCTTTCACGTCCCCAAGGCGTTGGACAGTTGGGTCGGGACCCGAGCAGAGGGGAAATGGTCAGGGTGAGGGGAGGGAAGGGAGGGGGTAGAGAGTCGAGAGGGGAGCTGAAGGCACGGCTGAAGAGAAAGGTCTTGAAACCGGCCTTAAAGCAGGAAAGGGAGGAAGCGGCGAAGGCACTGGGGGATGGAGTTCCAGAGCCTCGGGGCTGAGAGGCTGAAAGTCCGGTCACCGATGGTAGGGCGGTTAGGGCGGGGGTGGTGTGGAGCAGACCGGAGCCAGAGGAACGAAGGGTACGGACAGGTACATGGGGGGATAGTAGGTCGGAGAGGTAGGAGGGTGCAAGGCTGTGAATGGCCTTGTAGGTGAGGATGAGGATCTTCAATTCGATCCTCTGGGGGATGGGGAGCCAGTGGAGGCAAGTGAGGGTGGGAGTGATGGGGTCATGGAGCCTGGTGTGCGAGTTTTGGATGATTTGCAGCTTGTGAAGCGAAGAGTTGGGAAGGCCGATGAAGAGGAATCTGCTACTGATCTGCTACAGTTTGCTGTAGCTCACGTTCATTTCAGTCACCAAATGAACCTGTCTTGGGGGCAGGTGTTTGCCAATTCACTCATCCAGCGCAGAGAGAGCACCTCGTGGAGTTGGCATTGTAACAACTGGGCTCTAGTGGTAAAACCTTGGCCCTGGCGAATGTAACCCTAACACTGTGGCTCCAGCACTGACAGTTTCCATTGGACTCTTACAGATCAATCTAATGTCTATTGTACAAATGAACCATAATTCAGCTGGAAAAAGGCAGATAAATAATAGTAATCCTTGCATTTGATATACGCTGCCTTTTACGTCAAGAAGACATCTCCAAACACTTTATGAGATTTACTGTAAGGTGTAGTGACTGTGTATTTGTATGCAAATGCAGCAGCCAATTCACAAACAGCAATGTTTCACAAACAGCCATGAAGTGAATGACCAATTTTATTTGGGGGACTGTCAGCCAGGTAGGTCACCCAGAAAACTCCCTTCTCTTTCCGAATAGTGCCATGAGATCTTTGATGTCCACCTGAACAGGCAGATGGGATCTCAGTTTCACATCTCATATTGTATTAGGTCTACAGAATGGGAATCTTTATTCCGTTCATACCAATTTTTCTTCTGAACCAATTTAAAATTCTAAGTTGTAATTCCATTCCTACTATAGCGTGGCAATGACATCTCACATTCACCCTTTTATTTGCTGTCCATATCACCCCACCACCCTACCCTCCAAGTAGTTGACCATGTTAATGCTTTCATATGAACACAGAGTTAAATAGTCACTTGAATATTTCTCTACCAACTCTCTTCCAACTCAATTGCCATTAGAACAGTCTGATAAGTATTCTATCGGTCAGGAGACAATTGATTACATGACAATGCTGCCCATTGCTGTTTTCTGTGATAAGGAAAGCAATACGTTTCCTAAGGGTTTCCACAGGAATCTCTTGAGTACCTCACACCAAAGATATTGATTTAAAAGCCCCTTTTTTTCTGTTTGTGTGGCTTCAAATCCTTTGTGTTCCTAACCTTGGCTCAATGAAATGCATCTGCTGTGAACAGGAATCAGGCACAAAGAGCGGGGTAATTGACTGGTAACATCCACTCGTAAACATAATGACTATCTTCGTCCACATAAAGGACCAGCACAAGTACATTTCACTGTAAAACAGGTCACTGTACTATTGAAAATTTGAGTCCATTATTCCACCAGGGGAGCAAATCATTTCAAATGGAAATGCTTTTTGTCTGTGGGAATTTTGTCACATCGCTTTCTCTGCAATGGCCTTGTAAAAAAACACATACATTTTCCAATTGAAAACATATTTCAATAGCTCCATGAAACAATTGTCAAACATCTGATAACCATGACAATAACATACTGGAATATTAACAGAGGATACCCGTTGAAAATTGTTTGGGACTCATTCAAAAGTCCCGAAATTCTGCCTCGTCTAGATCCACAAGACCAATTTGTGATAAAACTTTATGATGCTGCAGAATTCAGGAGACTTCTTAAATTTAGTGATTGATTTCAAAGTAGTGTATTTTTAACACCTGTGGAAAAACTAAGCTAGGACTGAGTCTTAAGAACGCTCCCCAATTCTGCAGGTTCTACGAGCAGGTCAAAGGTGATTTCCACCCTTCACTCAAATTCCCTTCCGAACCCTCCTCCCTCCACTCGAGGCGTTTCATAGTCTCAGTTTAGCTTCAGGGAGTCAACCCAAACTCTGAAGTACAGCTTTGGACTAAGCTGAATGTTACTGACATGCAATTGAAAGCACTTGAATTTATGGGAGTATCGTTAAAAACCTAACAAAAACACATCAATTATAACCTTGAGTACGTTGAATAATGTTTAGAATGTGGTGCAACTTCCACAGAAAGTGGGTCAGCCTAGCCCTGGAGCTAGTGGTAAATTTCCTTTATCTGCTGACAGCAGTCAACGTGGATTGAAATTGTGGAGTCCTGCAGCTCATTGGTTAGAGCACTCGCCTTGCAAGCGAGAGACCTGGGTTCAACTCCAGGCAGGGAGAAACCTTGGGCAAGTTTCCTTACTTGCCATCCTCCTCCACCGCCTTTCCTCTGTCATCCACCTCAGTGGGACCGCGCTCGCCTGGTTCGAGTCCTACCTCACAAACCACCAGCAGAACATCTGCACAAACGGTTTCTCCTCCCGCTCTCACCCAGTTACCTGCAGGGTACCCCAAGGATCCATCCTTGGCTCCCTCCTCTTTCTGATCTACATGCTCCCTCTTGGGGATGTCATCCGCAGACATGGGGTACATTTCCACATGTACGCGGATGACACCCAACTCTATTTTTCCACCTCTCTTTGCGACCCCCAGTCCCCTGATGTTCTGTCAGCTGCCTGTCAGATCTCAGGGGCTGGATGAGCACAAATTTCCTTCAACTGAACATCGACAAGACGGAAGCCATACTCTTTGGCTCTCATCAACGTCTAAAATCCCACGGCTCTCACCTCCTCCACCTACCCGACCTCACCCTAAAACTCTCCGAGTCCATACGCAACCTAGGCGTCAGGTTCGACCCCCAATTGTCCTTCCTCTCCCACATCCGGTCCCTCACCAGCACCGCTTTCTTCCACCTCCGACGCATCACCCGTCTCCGCAAATACCTTTCTCCGAAGGCCACTGAAACCCTGGTCCATGCCTTTGTCACCTCTCGGCTGGACTACTCTAACCCCCTCCTCGTGGGTCTCCCATCCACCACCATACATAAAATCCAAATCATCCAAAACTCTGCCGCCTGCATTCTGCCTTTGTTCCTCCGGGCCTGGCCTCCTCCTCGTCCCCCGAGTCCTCCGCTCCACCCTCGGCGGCCGTGCCTTCAGCCACTATGCCCCAAGGCTCTGGAACTCCCTTCCTCACTCCCTTCGTCTCACTCCCTCCCTTCCCATTTGCAGGTCTCTGCTGAAGACCTTTCTCTTCGACCGCGCCTTTGGTCACCTTCCACTCCCCCTCCCCTCCCCGTGGCTCGGCCCCGGGATTCGTTACTGTGAAGCGCTCTGAGACACCATCCGGCGTGGAGGGCGCTATATAAATCCAAGTTGTTGTTGTTGTTGTTGTAGTACTCCACACACCTAATAATGATCCCTCCAAAACAAAAAAAAATAAATTGTTCATTTTCAATCAATGACTGTTTGTGGGACATTGCTGTGCGCAATTGGCTGCCGCGTTTCGCCCACAAATATACAGTCAATTCACTTTACAGTCTATTCTGTGAAGCGCTTTGAGACGTTTAGAAGACGTGAAAAGCGCCATATCAAATGCAAGGATTATTATTATTATGAAAGGTGAGAGAGAACTTCCTTCATGATTTTCAGGGATGCATTTCCTCACATCCATTCTCCCCGGCATACAAGAACTAAAACAACAACAACAAAACTGGATTGATCCAGGATCTCTCCTGATTTTTACAACAGAATTCTCCATGAATGAATCCTCTTCCCTCGAGCACTCGATGCGAGTGCAAATGTTGGGTGACTGATTCCTAACTGCTTCTTGTGTTTGCTTTACCTGCTGTAAACTCTGACGCATAACTCATGCCATGTCCTCATTCTCCACGATACCTGTTTGTCAGTGAGGACAGTCACGAAAAGCGGCCAAATTTCCAGCGATGAACCTACCTGAATGCTGGGACTTTTGCAATGGAGTAAAAAAAAGGCCACAAGAACACAGATTGCACAAAGTCAACATGTAAAGTTCTGTGATGATTTCATTCACTTCGCCGTTTCTATGCGTAAAGAAATTGGAGAGAAAAAAAATGTAAGCCTAAGGTTAAAAGTCTGCTCACGACTTCATACCTGAGTCATCTTGGCGAGGTCCAGGGATGGTCTTTGCTCTTGAATTTGCTCCTGTCTGCGGCGCTTCATCCCAATTTTCTGATCGTTGAGGACACACGGTTGAGACCTGCATCGGAGCAACCTGCTGGTCTGTTGGGCGAGTTGGGCAGCCGAGGTGGGTGTGGACGGCAAGCTGAACTCCAGCACAGATATCTGCTCATGAGACAAGGACAGGGGTCTCAGCAGATCGGCTCTGTAAGCATCCCCTGGGCTGGAGCCGCCGAGCAGGTCTTCTTCGAACCTGCACAAGCTGGCGAGACCCAGATTCCCTGGCCTTGTGGGCAAGCAGACCTGCTGCTGGGAGCTGCTGGGTCACACGACAGAGAAAAGACATTGGATCTTGAAGGAAGACTGAAGCTCGAGCTCCTTTGTATTGTAGAGACCCCATTTGAGCAGCGCTGCACACTTCCCCCGCTGTGGCAGCGTCTTTTATCGACAGCAGTCCACACCTTTGACCCACTGGGTTTCCACGGAGACCGACAGCTGGACAGTTCATCTGAGAAAGACAGCGACCGACACTGACGTTTGCTGGGAGGCGCCGAAGGGTTTCCATTGCGGTCGCTGAGGCTGAGATCTTTGATTAAGCTGGTCACAGCACCCGCTGTGTTTGCATCCCTCGACCACACGCCACTCTCTTGACACTCCTCCGAACCAGTTAAACACGTCCATGGTGGATCCAGATTACTGGAGCTTTGCTCGAGTTCAATCTGACATTTCCTGAGGTCTCTCCACCGGTCACCGTCTTTTCAAAAAGGGAACAAAAAAATAAGTAGGCTTCAATTAGTGTTTTAGCCACGCAGATGCATCTGCATCAAGTTCACATAGACTATAAGAATCTTCGTTTAAACCTACCTTTTGAAATAATTTTAACGTATTCTCACCCTTGCAAAACAAAAAGTTAAGTCATTTGGTTAAAGAAAATCAGGGCAAGTCAGCGTCAATCCAGGCAGTCCGTCTAATCTGGCCCTGACTTTTGATGGGGTAAAAAGAAACACACAAGGGGCTCCATCATTGTGTCTAGTCACTGCACTTTTTGGGGGGCAGCTGGGTGTCTGACACATGAGGAAACCCATCACCGTGTTTAAAGAGCATCCAAACCTGAGAACGGCATGCATCCCACTTACACATGGAAATTAGAGAGACAGATTGTTGAAATAGAATGCGCACTCTCTCCCTGGAGGGCCGCACCCTGCTTACCTAATTCAGGAAAGTATTAGGCGTAGATTGGCAAGAGCCAAGGCTTGGGAACCCCGGCGTTGGGGTAGGACCCCGAGACTGTGACTTACTGCATTTGGCCTTGAGACAATGCAAAGGTAGACAGGTCCAGCTGGATTGAGGAATTGCTTATTCCAATCCTCTGCCCAATTCAATTACATTTAAACCATTCAGCAGTTCCCGCACTCTGTGGACATTGCAAATAGCAGCCCTGGTAATGGGAGCAACTCTGCTCTTCATTTCAAAGAAAATATGCCAGATATTTATACTTTCGAATTTGTCTACAATAAAATCTAAGTATTGGACATTCAGCCAACACCAACGCTGCACTAACGTATATTGTTCCATTTGAGCTCAAGTTTAATCACTTGGAAAAGCATGTCTTCAAAGTTTTTTTTACTAAAGAGGAAGTTCAGTCAACTAACAATTGTTCCATCATCAATAAGAGATATCACACATTGTGCCTTTGCTTCAAAAATACTGATAGACTTCCTCATTCGCAATATCGGAGCAGATGTTCTACACAAAATATCTGCTTCCAGATGGTCCATTATACTGTATAGAGTTCAAAGCATATAACAGAGCCAGAAATGAGTAAAAGATGATAAATGTACTAATCTCCCTTTGTGGAGCAAGCCAATGGAATACACTTCCCCTTTAAGCAACAGAGCCTCAAAATTTTATTTAGTCTTAGCCTGTAAGACCGCCGTTGCCTTAAACTTTAAGAAAATGGAACATTGTAGAAAATCCTTGCTTTCAGTTTAATTTGGAAGCTGATTATTAGAAAGAACCATCTTTCAAATGGAGACTAAGTTTAAGAATTTTCCACAATTTTTTTCGAGGGAAAAAAATGTCAGATTAAAACCAGGTGGAATTTCAGGCATTTGATGATGGCCTTCAGCCACTGCTTATGCTGATATAGAAGCAGTTCCTGTTTCAATGAACTGTACCACGAAGCACTAGGCTGGTGCTGTGGACAACGTCACAGAAGAGGCAACTTATCAAACTACTGCTTCTCATTCATTCAACAGGAAAGAAATTCTTTAATTCACACTCTTGAACGACTGTATGAGATGATGTTTTCAGATGATCTGGCAGATGCTCAGGGATCATTCTACATCACTAGTTAGTTACGATCAACTCACGAGTGAAAATATTTATCATACCACAGGCGTCCATTGTTGTGTTAATATGGCATTTTGTAATTAGCAATGGTGATTTAATTTGTAATTTAATTTGGAATTTTTATTAATTTAAGTAACCTTTAATGAAGGCCAAAGGACTTTGCTACTCTCCACGTTGTCATTTGAGCATCATCCACCCTAGTACGCAGAAGTGATGGAGTGCCCCCTTGAAAATCAGTAATTAAAATAGTAATTAAATATTAAATTCACAGAGCTATTCCTCAGCCACAAATACACGCCATTCGTTCATCAGTCGGCCAGATAGCAATTTTCAGCTCATCAACACAATCCGTGTCTGTCAGTACATGGCATTGACGCAAATTGAGACATGCCAACATTTTCAAGTCAATGAGTGTTACACTGTGTTCTGGAGCACTGGTATTGTGAGTAGGAACTGAAGTGGAAAGGTGAGCAATGGGTCATTACAGCGGGATTGAATTTGTGCCACAAACAGGATCATGTAGCCACTTCCCAGGTCTGATGGTAAGCAAACACTAGCTTACCTTCTGAGAAAACTCCACAGTAGAAATCATTCCCAAGCCAACTCTTAAAAAAAATTTTTAAAAATCTTATACCAAATGAATACACACCTTTCAATTAAGTATGGAATTGAGAGGGAGAAGCAAAGGAAGCCTTTTCATGGCTGGCTACAGATACCAGACACAATATGCACTCGAAGGAAATCAACCAATTCACTGTTAGCGATAGCAAGGTGCTTTACATCATCTTCAGGCTATCGGGCAAGACTAGAACAGTTTTGAAAGTCTGGGCGCTGTATAACAGAGCCTGGCTAAAGTTTGAGAAATCTATATTAAAATCCTGTTTACTTACTCTTCAAGAGCAACGCAAACTTAGAATAAAAATTATCCAGTTTACCAAAGAACAAAGCAAACCAAAAAAAATTTCCAAAGAAATTATTTGGAAGCAATCAGAAGGTAAGTCATAAGAATATGACAAATTAATATAATAATAATCCTTGCATTTGATAGAGCACCTTATCATTTTGTTGAAATGTCTCAAAGCGCTTTTCAGAATATATTGTCAAGTGGATTGACTGTGTATTTTGTGGGCGAAAAGTGGCAGCCAATTGTGCACAGCAGTGTCGCACAAACAGTTGTGGATTGACACCCAATTTGGAATAATTTTACATTGACAAGTTACAGGGACAGTAGTCATTGAGCAAAATGATTCAGAAAGGACTCAAATACATTGTCTTCAGTTTACTGGGGCCTTTTAAATATATTTCAGGATTTCCTTAAACAGTTTCAGGGTTCTTGGTACTTGAACGAAAGGTTCAAGGTGCAAAAAGGTGCAAAAAACAAAACCAAGAAAGGACTGAAATGACTGAAAGCTAAAAATAATAATTGCTGGTTCTGTGAAATGTCTTGCAAATTTATTTGACAGAAAACATTCTGTTTTGCCGAACTGACAAACTATCCCGCAGTGAAATACACTTTCTGGCTGTGTACAGTCTAGAGATGTGAACTGCACTACTTTTTTCCCCCCACTTTGAACTTCTGCTTTGTAGATGTTTCTTTGCTCGGAGCAAGGAGTCCTGTAGCTCAGTGGTTAGAGCACTCGCTTTGCAAGCGAGAGACCTGAGTTCAATTCCAGGCAGAGGGCGAAACCTTGGGCAAGTTTCCTTACTCCACACAGAGCCTAATAATAATCCCTCCAAAAACCCCAAACAATAATAAATTGGTCATTTTCATCTACGACTGTTTGTGGGACATTGCTGTGCGCAATTGGCTGCCGCGTTCGCCCACAAATATACAGTCAATTCACTTTACAGTGTGTTCTGTGAAGCGCTTTGGGACGTCCTCCCGACGTGAAAAGCACTATATCAAATGCAAGGATTATTATTATTATTATAAGGATGGATTTGTGGCATTTAGGAAATCTGCGGTTGGATGTGCGAGAGTCCGATCTCAAAACTAAAGATGACAGGATTATAAAACATTGCAGTAACAATCACAAACTTATCCATTCCACCCAGAATACAAACAACCTTGCTGAATCAGAGGTTGTTGCTTTTGCAGTGCTCATGGTCTTCACCACAAGTATCTCCTTCTACCCTGAGTGACAAGTGTGTTTATTGGCAGTTTTCGGTGTTACGCATGTTTTGCAACAAGAAACTGTGATGCAGTCAGCCTCACTGAATGCATGTGCCGCTCTTGCCTTCCTGCTGCTGATATTAACAATAATCCTTGCATTTGATGCAGAACCTTATCACGTCGTGGAGACGTCTCAGAACCCTTCACATGCTGTAAAGTGGATTGACTGTGCATTTTATGGGTGAAACATGGCAGACAGTTTGCTCACAGCAATGTTCACAGCAATGACAAACAGCCATGATAATAATAATAATCTTTGCATCTGCTAGAACACCTCATCATATCAATTCATCTCAAAAGTTTCATTGAGTTTTTGTAGTTTCTGTGACTGTATTTGAAGGCAAACGTGGCAGCCAATTTGTTCACAGCAATGTCTTACTAGCAATCAGGTGGGGCATGAACAATAACTGGAGGATTATTGGCCAGGACACTGGGAAATACTCCCTTCCCTTTGCTATTCCCTTCTGTTTGAATAATGTCATGTGGGTTCTTTAAACATAATATTCCACAAAGTGGAGATTCTCCAATGGAGTCAGACCCCTTTCCCCATACAGTGGAATGGGTGGTAAGGTATTTCCATGCAACAGGAATAATAAAAGTATATCAGCTTTAAAAACTTAGATCATTAGTGCCTTATGGTCACTGTATTTTAGCAATACAGCCTGCTGTCTCCAAACACACAGGCCACTGTAAGAGTATCATAATCTACCAATTTACTGATCAGTAACTCAAATAATGATGGAAATTCAAGAGCAGCACAATCCTTAATATGCAGTAGCTGCTTTTCAAGTGTTTGAAGCTGCGTTTCCACAATACAAGGGTTTATAAGACTATCACTGAATAATCATGCATTTCTGCCACCGTGACTTTACTGCTCCAACCAACCCAAGCCACTCACTATAGTAACAGATTAAGCTGCTTGGTTTCAACCACTGGCATTGCTAGAGAGATCTCAGTGTACTTTAATTCATTCCCTCACCCAGCGGGAAATGGTAGGTCATTAGAGGACATAACAGTGTGGGAGAAATATCCAATAAATAGTGAAGGGTGGAAATAAATAAAATATCATCTGATAGTCGCATGCTTCCAGGAACTGAAAGCAAAATTCCTTTAAACAAGGAGGTGTGCAAAATCTTGGCGTGCTAAAATGTCATTACGCATGCTTGGCGTAAACATTGCTCAGCAAACTCTCCCACTGTCTGTGTCTCCTGTTTTCTTAAAGGGACTGAGGCTTCTACATTTGTAGGACACTGCTGTGCGCCATTGGCTGCTGCGTTTCACCCACAAAGTGCACAGTCAATCCACTTCACAATACATTCCGTGAAGCTCTTTGACACGTCTCAACGACATGACAACACGCGACATCGAATGCAAGGATTATTATTATTATTACATCCGAAATGCTGCAGTCTTCACAAGAACTTTCTTGGGATAAGTTTAACAATGCACTTTTCATATAAGCCCTCTTATTGCGAAAAATCACAACTTCCGTTTATCAAGGCTCTCCTCGATGAGTAGGTATAGAAGGAGTTTTAGGCAAATATCTGAATTTCGATCAATCGAACTGATTTACAATTCCTTCTGAAAGATTAGAAATGTGGCTCAACATGGCTGAAACATCCTAAAACCCCTTAGTTGCTTTAAGAGAATGGTAGAGGCATGAGTAGTGGGAGAGTTTGCTGATTCGGCTCATTCTGTGCATGGGTGATGTTATTGATAGCACGCCAAAACTTCACACCTCCTAGTTTCATGAGCTACTGCTTTCAGTGACTGGAATCTCGAGACCTTCCACCAAATGATTTGTTTCTTGATTTCCTTCACCCCTTATTATTGTAAGTTGTTTCTCCCACTTAGTTAGACTCTCATTGACCTACTATTCCCTACAGAGGAGAAAGTTGAGAGGGACCGACTCAGGTCCTCACCCAGATCTTTGCCAATGCAGCTCTCAAAAAGGCTGAGGTAACAACGGTAACATTTGCATCCATCTGCCAGGTATTGGCAGATACACGGGATCTATGGTATTGAGAAGATCAGCTTAAGTTCACTTAACCTTAAAACTTTCTTTGCCTTATATCTTTGCCGCAACTCTAAGAGGCAAGGCTGGGACTTCCAAAAGTAATCCCTCCGATTTGGAGAGTCATCTTTTGTGCCCCTTATGTTGTACCTGTAATATTTATTAGGTCAGGGTATCAAGGGATATGGGGCAAAAGTGGGTAATTGAAGTTGAAGTACAGATCAGCCATGATTTAATAGAATGGTGGAACAGACTTGAGGGGCTGAATGGCCGACTGCTGTTCCTATGTCCCTATGTTTGGGACACATTATGTAGATCCTCTGGGCACTGATTCACATACTCTGAAAATAACTTTGGACATTTTTCCTCAAGCATCAAACCCTTTTGTGTGCATTTTAAGAAAGAAAATTCTCTTTAATGGAACAGGTTTCTGTCACCAATCCGTGAACTGTGACACCAGAGGCTGCAGCCTGGTTGACAGTACCTAGGAACGTAGGAAAACAGGGGAATGTGGCCATTTGTTCCATCGAGCCTGTCCCACCGATTTATTTGACCTTGAAAGGTCTTTTTATCCCATTGTCCCACCCTTTCCCCTTTAATACCTCTAATAATTGGCCTCTGGAGATATTTCTTGGTGTCAAATGATGCTCATGCTGCCCTTACCCTTGTATACCCTACAAGACCGTTAATGATACACCATAAGATGAATTTATATCAATTACCACCACTTACAAAACAGATTACAGCACTAAAACTTACCCATAACTCCACATGAGAAGAGAGTAGGCCCTTTACTCATCTTCTTTGGATTGTGCTGAAAATAATCAAAAGAGAAGTTTAAATCGGAATACATGCTCCTCGAGTGCTTTAATAGAGAAAGTCCTTTTACATTACTCGACTTACATGCAAAGAGTTTGCCAACAAAATACACAGTCGCTACACTTTACAGTGAATCCTGCGAAGCACTTTGAGACATCCTCCTGATAATTATCACTGTTATTATTGCACGCGTCACTCTAACTTGCTGCGGTACAATTTTGTTAAGAATTTGCTTCTTCTTTGAGCAAGAGAAGGAAATTACTAAAACGAAGAGTGGAAACTTGCTGTAAAGATTAAAGAGCCATACGTCAGTTGCTTTAAAAAAGCAGGTGATCCAAATCAATCCAAAATCTTCCTCCTCATCCTTCATTCCCCCATCACCCCCCCACCCCGCCCCATGCTGACTTGTTTGCCCTTTTTCTGAACTTTAATCTTACTCATGTGTGCACACACTATTTGCAAGTGCCAGGAGATCCCTAAGATATGATAGTACTGGCTTTTTTGGAGCAAGGTCTCAGCTACACAAGGATATCTTAACATCAACACCAGCAACCTACGGTGAGTGGCAAGGGACCTTGATCTAATTACATTCGAACATTTCTATCATAATGGTATTTACACGATATAGTATCCACTTTCAAAGGTTCATCGTACTAAAAGGAATCCACTCAAAATATTTCTCACTCACAGCAGTTGGTAAGAGAGATGCTGTGTCTCGGCCAACAGTGAGATATCGTAACTATTTGCAAGTGAGTTATGGTCAGCTTCACGAGTCATTTATCAATTTGCGGCCACATTAGAATCTATTTATAACAAAACTCTTAACCCTTGGGTGACTGTTTGGCAGATCTGCCATCTCTGAGAGGGTGACTAACTCCATGTACCCATTGCGATGCTGAATAGACCCTCTATCCAGCAACAAAAACATCAGGATAGCTTTGTTTTTTTATTAACTAACTAATACAATCGCAAATAGGCATCATTTAAAGTAAAAATTAACAATTCCAAAAATGACCTTGTATATTATTGCTCAGAATTTCACAGGAGGTTAGAAAGGTGTCTACCCATTTAGTCCCTGCTCTTTTCTTTTACCCTTTTATATTTAAAGCGCCCCTAGATGCTACCCCATATGAAGGGCACAATGTAATTGCAAGTTGTTGTTATTTATATTTCTTTTGTTTCCACTACTTTTTCCCTATTTTCTCTCTGCTCTTTTTATTCATTTGAACTATTACATTTTTGACTTCAAAAATCTATTTCTTACTTTTTTTTGCTTCCCTCCAGCTCCCACCACCTATTTTAGGGAAATAGAGGTCAGAACCTTGGGACGTCCTCCCGATAGGAAAAGCGCTATACAAATGTAATTTGTTGTTGTTGGGAAATGGGAGCAATTCTGTTTAAAAAGCAGTTATTTGTGGCCTGGTGTTACAACCAACGAACCAAGATAAAAGATCAAAGACTAACACAGGATTGCATCAACTTTCACCCACAAAATACATAGTCAATCCACATTGACAATATATTCTGTGAAATGCTTTGAGACGTCGCAATGAAGTGATGAGACATCATATCAAATGCAAGGATTATTATTACTATTAAGTTATTTGTGCATCTAAAAATCTCCCTCTTCCTCCCCAAGAGAACTGGCCCTTCCCACAGGAGGCATTCACAGCTCCCTAAGGGTTAATGTATCACTGAAAAATTTCCGTTTTACTTATTAAATACTAGCTGTACCCAGTGCAGCTACACTTGCAACCATTTTCATTTAATCATCCTTCTCTCTTTCGTCTGGCATTTTTATTTGTCCTTGAAAGGCTTGACCTTCGCTTCTTAGGCATCTTTATCCGTAAAGATTAAGAAAATGTGCTATTGAACTCGTTAGCATCCCTTGTTCACATATTTGCACACATAGCCTTTTGGGAGGACTCCTGTTGGGAGGACTCAGTGGGAAGCCTCAGTGGGAGGACTCCTGACACACAGGCAGACATTTTGTCTTTATTAGTATAGATGTATCTCTCTAGAAGGGTGTGTGACCTCTGTTGATATTTTATTGGGGCTTAATTAAAGCATTTTTAATATATTTTGTAATTTAGTTCATCAACGATAGGAGAACCTGCCCCAAAAATATGCCCATGACGCTCCCCCATGCAAGACCTTTCCAATGAGATATAAACCATGTCTCTATGTCAATCGGTTATTGCATTCTTGGGGGGGACACAGACACACACAGATGTTTCGTCTTTATTAGTATAGAAGAACAATTATGAGCACTGACGTATCTCTAATAGAACCCATTATACGATGTGAGCAGTCTCTTTCCTTTCTCCACAAGTGACTTTCTGCCGTCCAGACAAACCCTGAAGCACAGGGTCCAGTCATGTACTTATAAGGTCATTCTCAACCGGGGAAATCAATGACGTTTGGATAGTCAATAAAAGTATAAAGCATTTAAATAACTGTTGAAATTTATTAACAGCAGTGATAAAGAAATACAACCAGTCCAGAACTTCCATTCGTGCAGCAGGCCAGAGTGCAATCGTACTGTTGTAAATCTGTTTGGCAGAGATGTGATAAATGCTAATTTTACTTCTGAATAGCAGCCAACAGCAAATATTTGCTCTAACAAAGACCAGTGTCTCACAAATCTGACCTTACTGGCAACTAAGCTCAAAAAGAGACTTGGGGGGATATTGCATTTAAGTTGCCTATCGGTAAGTCTGGGATTTTCCTAACTTAATGTATGCCCAGGTTCAGTATGTGATGATTAACTCTACCTTGGAACTCTTGAAGGATTTCAGCTGACTGTATTGCTGAGGGAGGAGTTCCACGGGAGTACTGGAGTGTGGCACTTTGCCACAGGCATTCTGTGAAGACCTTTGGATTGATTTTAAATAGCAGCTCCTCTGTTCGTATACATGAAGGCTTTGTTAAAGCTCACTAGATCTTCTTGCAGTCCTGGTTGAACTATTCCAGAGGATGGGTATCTTGGTTTCATCTCCAAATGTAGGGACTTTTTTATGTGACTGAGTAATGGTCCTCACCCAGAACTCAGTGCTCAATAGCTTTGAACTGAACCGAGTCAAAGAACATAATATGGGTTTCGTCTCCCACCATCTAAACAGAACTACAATACCCTATTACTGAATGGATACAGTTAGGGTATGGACAGAGGCCCTGAATAATGATGCTCCTGGCCGTGATAAATAAAGTATAGTAATACTCACAAGTTGTATCAGTCGGGCCCATAATTCATATGACGTACACAAATGTCAAGTTACAGACAAACTGTATAAGTCATATAGAATCCGAATTAATTAATAATCTGCACTGCGCAAATGTAATTCAGTGTCCATTGAGGATGGGTCAAGTCTACATTTCCCCATCTTGACTCATCGCCACATGCGCACTTACTGGAAAGCATTGGAACAGTGTTGAATTGCGGGTATTTAAGTTCTTCTGCGCATTCGGTGACAGATCAGAACTAAGTTTCCCGCGATTCGATGCATTAGTGTGGGAGTAATGGAGGGTAGGGGAGTGCATTACGAGTTAGTAGGTGATAAATACGAGTAGTGCAAAGAAATTCAACTGGTTTTGAAAGGAAATTGAATGGGACTGTGGTGTATGTACATCTTAGGCAATTATACAATTTGTAAAGATAAAGCTTGAGTTTTACTGTACATCTTGAAGACATTCACTTTTCTAAGAGCCATTTCCACCACTGGTTTGTCACTAAACCAAAAGAGCCACCGGGATAGGAATACATGTGACAGATAATGGATGGAATACCATCGCCTTCCTTTCCTTGAATAGTATTTCTGGGGAAAATGCTAGGGGTAAATATTCATTGTGCCAGTAAGTGTAAATACATAAACGATGGACAATAAGTAAGCCATTCAGTCTATTTAGCATATCAGATAATCGCTCCTTGCTGCTAAATTATTGCACTTAACGGCTTGGGGAAATTTCTCGCCCTTGACTCCAAAACTTGTGCTTGAATCGGTCATCAATAACGCGCTAGCAATACAAGGCAACTCTGCTGCAATCCATACCACAGTCCTGCCGTGAAAGATAATAGCCCGGGTTTTATAAAACTCGATTTATAACTGGTCCATTAATGAGGATTCTCGGATAGCTTCAAATTGTATAAACCGCTTGTAAAATGCTTGGGGCCTGTTATGCGAGTTGAGTTGCGTAAACGTTTCTTTAAATGTTTATAATTTTTAATTAAAATTTGTAATTGCATTTTTTACGGTCAACTGCCGTTCTACATAGCCTGTGTTTACACATGGTCCACGCAACCCGCAGAATAGGCTCTATTTACACAACGCACATCATAGGTTTTACTGTGTCAGAATTAGCAGAAGCTGCAACATCAGAAAGAGATGATGAGTTGGTCCGAAGTTCAGGAGTGGTTGTATAATTTTACAACAACAAATTATCCTGTTTATATTAGGTGCTAGTTGCTAAAAGGTGCAACCATCCAGGACAGAGTATATAGACAGAATATCGACTTTAATCTGCAGCAAACCAGGAGCCCCATTTGTGACTTGGTAGCAGGTGTGAAAGGTACAAACCTCAGAATTCAGAAGTCCGAAACTTGAAGGGTAAAACTCCATTTCATTTCAACTTTAAACTTGCTCTGCAACTGAGTTACAATAATAATAAATGCAAGGATTATTATTACAATTCTATGGCAGAGCACGTTTAAAGTTAAAATGAAATTATATATAGATTTACCTTTAATGAATGCACAACTATGCAATATTGCATTTAACTCAATAAGCACAGAATATTCCCCAAACTAAACCCAGATCCAATTTGCACAACCAAATGCATCAGAAATAATATTTCTTGATGGAGACTTAGTGCTGAATATCATAAAGGGGAATCAAACACAAGAATACAAACTACCTGAGATATAAATACTGGAAAGAGGACTCCAGTTGAAATCTCAGTTGAGAACAGCATTGGTTTTCAGCATGTGAATCCACAGTAACATTTATTTTCTTGCTAGTCACAACGTCATGTTTCAGCTTCCCAGGGCATAAACTTTACTTCATTATCCCAGCTATCAATCTTGCTTTGATTCACTTTTGGTATCTAAACAGAGAGTGCTCTGCGGAATATTACCGCCTGTGAAATGAAATTAAACCAGAGACCTGTTAAGCAAATTGCATTCTTGGAATAAAAGAGGATCTGTATACAAATAGTGAATAGAATACAAAAGAGGTTCATTGTTTTCTGGCTATCTGCTCATGGTGCTGTAAATATGCCTGGAAACAGAAACCTCCACATTAGAACTCTTCGGCAATCAAATTTCCCTGCAGCAATTGATCTCTCCAAGGGTACTTCTACGACATTCTTGCAAATTGGGATGACTATCCACTGCCCCCCAGTGACCGGTCTGCCCCTCCAATGTCCTGCCGATAAGACAGAATGGTTGGTGTGTCACGAGCAGCGAGTTGGGAATACTGCGGGCTCAACTGGCTCAGGAACCAGACAACTGAGACCGCCACAGAGGGTTGACTCGATTCCAACATTCCATTGCCAAGTAGAGCCTTGGAGCCAGTTCAGATCCAAGGAAAATCTGCTTATCCCAACCCACCCCCACCCGGGGAAAGGTAAGGACAGACCATTTTACATCTGACAATGGCAGGTTTAAACCCTCACTAGGTGAATAGCATGTATCAGAAAGCCCACTAGGGTATATATAATATACTGTCACTACACTCTACAGTATATTCAGTGAAGCGCTTTGAGATGCCTCGAAGACATGATAAGGCGCTATATCAAATGCAAGCATTATTATTATAATGTGGAGTCCTGTAGCTCGGTGGTTGGAGCACTCGCCTCGCAAGCGAGAGACCTGGGTTCGATTCCCGGCAGGGCAAAACCTTGGGCAAGTTTCCTTATTCCACACACCTGATAATAATCCCTCAAGAAAAAAAATAAAAGACGTGAAGACGTGAAAAGCACTGTATAAAATGCAAGATTATATCATTACTATTATATAATAGGAAGTCCTTACAAAAAGTTTCTACCTGCAGAAGCCTTTTGTGATATTATTTACTTTTTTTTTTAAAAAAAATGCATGCAACAGAGAACATTAATAAACTTACCAGTTCTGGGTTGAAAGTATTGCATATACCATAATCCAAGCCCTTGTTTTGCAGACCTTTGGTTAAAAGAGTCACCATGGTAACATAGTCACCTTTCTGAAGCCGTCACAACGTGAGCAGAAGTCAGCAGATATCATTTTAGGCCACTTGACCCATTTGAGTGCAGCGTGGAGCTGAGTGCTGGAACCACTAATGCAATGTTGTCCCAATCTGCCGGCAACATGAAAAACAAAAAGGGAAAGGAATTAATACATTTATTTCCAACACTTCCATTGTTAAATAGAGAAAATACTCAGGAGTTAAATATCTATAACCTTCCACCAGTCTCACTCTCTTCACACACACACACACACACACTGCCAAGTCAAGATTCAGAGGTGATTTAGAAGGTGATTTGCTTCTAAATGGCTGCCAAATCTACTCTAAAACCATCTGTTACAGAGCAGTCCATGATGACAGTTACAGGAAACTTCACCTCCACTCTGTGTCTCTCTGATAGTATGGAAGCAGATCAAGATTTGATATGTGGGGAATAATGATTTTGAATCCTCACCATTGGTACAGCAAAGACTGGTGGTAAAGGCAGAACACCAATACACTACAATACAATACACTGCTTTGGGGCAATGTTGAAATTCGAAGGCCGGTTTTTAAACATATTTTTCTCTGAAACACTGCAGTGAGGAAAAGGAACAAAAACAACAAAATTGGGAATACCAAAAGGTATTTCATCCTGTGAAGCTTTTTGAGATATCCTCCTGACATGAAAGGAGCTGTATTGAATAATAATAATGCTTGCATTTGATATAGCGCCTTATCACGTCATTGAGATGTCCCAAAGTGCTTCACAGAACATATTGCGAAATGGATTGACTGTGCAATGTGAACGCAAGGATTATTATTTTCATATTTAGCTTAATAGAAAAATGGCTTTGCATCCAGATAAAAGGTCAAAAGAAAAGTCAGGTCGTTCTCCCACTTAAAAAATAATTTATTACGTTGCATTCAATTTTCCTGCAAATAAATTAGCACCACTTATTATTGTAATAAGGCACCTACAATACTGCAGTGCAGGGTCCAAATCCTTGACTGTCCAGCGCTTTGGGACATCCTCCCGACGTAAAAGGTGCTTTACAAATGTAATCTTGCATTGTATTGTACAAATATTCTTATACTCATTTCCTTTTTTCAATCTGACAGGTGTTTTTTTTGGAAGGTGGGGACATCCTTGTTTTGTTTGTGCGTTGCAGTTTGGAATTGAACGCAGGCCATTTTCCCCAAAGTTACGCTTCTCGATTGAACGCTGATAGATTAGCTGAAGAGATGTCCTCAATTGTTCACTGAGGACAACTGAGCTCAGCTGAAGAGGTATCACGCAGTGGGTGACGTCACTGTGAAACCTCACACCGAAAACCCAGAAGCTGTAATCAACCAGCAAATAGGTCACTGAGTGCTCCGAAACAACTGCGGTGTCATTTTAAACATAATTTTTATATTTATTATTGAAATTCCGTGAGATTTATTTTCAAAACAATAATCATGAAACGTGAGGAACATGAACAGGTTCGCTCTCAGCCCACAGCAAAAAATGGGGGTTGGGGGAGGGTGTGGGGGAGACACGGAGAAAGTTTGTGCACATTCCCAAGTTAAAATTATCAAGATGAGAAAGGAAATAATTTAGCACAAACAGTTCAACTGCTGTATAAACAAAATAACTGAGCCAGTTACGTTACTTGGCAGAGAAGAAAACTTTTTTTTTACTAGTTTGATGCTGAGATTTTTTGAGATCCACTTTCTTAATATAAACTCCAAGACTCCTTGCCATGAGTAACTGATTCAGAAAACTGTGTTTCCATTCCACATGAGTTTCTAAAGAGTCTTTCTGTAGAAAAGTAAATACAGGCCATGTCATATAACCAGCCGTTAGCTGGAAGTGATAAATAATTTTAGCAGAGAGCTACAATCACACTCACAAATCTGGATTTTTAGCGTAACATGGCAAGGAGCACAATACTCTATTTATATCACACATTTGAAATACAGCAATTCGACATCAGACTATGAAACCATGAAACCTGTGACACTGGACAACATGGAGATAGGATGAATCGTAGAATATTACAGTACAGCAGGAGGCCATTCAGCCCATTATGCCTGTGCCGGCTCTTTGGAAGAGCTACTCAATCATTCCCACTCCCCCGCTCTTTCCCGATATCCTTGCCATACCAGCTAGTAGGAGAAACTTGGATATAAAAGGGAAAAAGGGGAAGAAAATGAATCCTGAAAGCTAGGACAGTGCACCTGAAAATAAATCTGAGGCCATCATAAATGGATTTCAGTGACACAAATATTAAATGATTGCTCTCAGGAGGACTGTCACACACCTCACACCCAACTCATTTAAGATTTGCAGGAAAATAACCTGCTCCAAGGCTTTCACCAATGACCTTCTTGTGCAGACTATTGAAAACCATGTGGAAAAGGCCCACTATGACATATCCTTCAATCGCCCATTAGTCTCTGCAAGGAAGCACTCTCGTTACTGTAACTGCCCAAACTGATCGATTTACAACTCATTGTGTGGCAATTCATGGATTCAAACCCATCTCCTGCTGCAAAATTCTGTCAACATACTGTACCTCTCCTTTCTTCCTTGTGGGGACAATGGTTTCACAATGCTTTATTAGCTGTCAATGACTGATTACTAACACCTTTCTACCTATAATACCCAGCCTCTAAACAACGAGGATTTCCTTGGTAGCTGTATCTGTGGGGTTAAGGCGATGGTTTTACACTGCCTGAGCTTCACTCATATGGTGTCTAATGCCCACCAAGAGGATTCTGTTATGGCTACAGGTCACTGAAACAAAACAATACAAATGATGGGTCGGGATGCAATGACTATTTTAATCTGTCCATTCGATTCATAGTTAAGTCTGCTGGTAGCAGCTTAACTATTCTGATGTAAATGTTCGAAGTCACGGCCCTGACACAATCCCACCGTGCTGATTGTTGTTGTTGTAAATTTACTACAACAACAATTTAAATAGCGCCTTTCACGCAAAAGGCATGTCTGAAAGCGCTTGACCGAACGAGATTAATTAAAAATGAAGTGAATCTGTTATGCTGTCCATCAATCGTTTAATCCGTAACACAGCGAGGTTTTACGAGCAACAATGAGACGCATACCCAATTAATTTGAATTTTTGGGTTAATTCAGAGGACGAGCAAACATAAGCCAAGACAAGAGGAGAATCCTTTAATCTGCAGCAGATGGTCTATCTTGTTATACGTTAAACTGCCACTTAATATTAGTCTTAGATTTTATTAAAAACTAACTTGAAATAATAATTTACGTTTAAGTAGCTGAAGGGTGACTTTGACGCAGCTGCACCCTGACTGTGTGCTTATTGCCATGTGGCAAGGCTTCCTGCAAGACACGTTACAATGCCTGCCATTGGTCCTTTAAAGGACTTACATTGTGAAATTCTACACAAAAATTTTGCCATTGGGGCGCGTCTACATAAAAAAAAGTATCGCGTTTGCTGCAGATTGCTTCTCTTACAGAGCAATTCAGCCTGAATGTTTTTTTCCCTCTTGATTTGGGAGTGAAGTCCCATTATGATCACTTCCCACGAATTGTCAGGTTTTGTGGCTGGCAAACTGATAGTGACAGTATAAAACAGCCTTTCATTGTACCACTGACCGCAATGCCTTGCTAATTGTTTGCAGCCAATGGCCACATGAGTCTGAATTAATTTCTCATTGGCAGCCTGCTCGAAGCCGATGGCCGTATTATTGATGCTGGCAAATCATATTCCTGCAGCTCACAAACAGATTCCATGAGGTAGCAAATCTCACTTTACAATTAAAACCAACCACCGACCTCCAGATAACAAACCATGTTTTCAATCTCCTACACGACACATCTCACTGCATAGGAAATGCAGAAATCACGCCAACATATGGACTGAAAAGCTACTCTAACAAAACCTTCACCGTTACTGCATTGTACGGTTTGCTTCATATGTAGAACAAAGTTAAAGATCAATTCACAAGCACAAATCTTTCCTAAATACAAGCCAGACACTACATCTTAAGTATTAAATATAATAATAACAATCTTTGCATTTGATATAGTGCCTTATCATGTCTCAAAGTGCTTTAAAGGATAATTGTACAGTGATTTAGACTGTGTTTTGTGGGTGAAACACGGCTAACAGTTTGCGCACAACAATGTCCCACAAACAAAAAGGTACTCCAAAACCAAATATCTCGGACAGTAAATATGTACTGTCTAAGAGAATTGCCCAGCAAATCAACTGCTGATTATTACACAATACATTGCAATGATCGTATCATAAATAATGAATCTTCTTGTGTGCGCTTTATCACACATCAGAAACATAAGGGTAAAAAGTCCATTCAACATTATGCCTGATGCCCTTGGCGATGCAGGACTATAATGCAAAATCCCATTAGTTGCCAACATTGCCAAAGGCAATCTGCCTAATACTGAACGAGGACTGATACTGGAATTTTTAACAAATAAAGTAGTCCGCCGGCAATCACAGTCGATAATGATGCACACTGCCACCCCAAAAGTAAACACAACATTTAAATTGGAATCACCTTATCAAATTAAAATGGTGCAGATTGAACCAAGACAAACAAGTTACCAAATGTACATTCAAGTTAGCAGTGTAATCTCTGGGTTCAGGGGCAATTAGGAACCACGCAAATGTTAGTCTCCCTGGTCAATGTGTCATCTGAACTCATTGATTAAAATACTCTTGGCTTTCTATGTTACCCATAAGACAGTTATATATATTGGATAGAAAATCTTGCTTCGCTCAGAATAAAAAACCCTACAAGACGAAATCTATTCCAATAAGAGATTAGAAAAGGTTTTGAAAGCTTCTGGTAATTGGCAGGTTGATAATGTACGCAGACTAAATAGTATTCAAAGAAGATCTGGACGAAGAAGGCAAGTAGGTTAAGGAACATTAATTGGCTTTATAATAATTGCAAGGTACTGTCAATATAAATTGTTATTGTTGTTCTTGCTGTTAGAACGAGTAAAATTTTGTATCGGATAATAGTGGAGAATGAAAAGGATTTGGGTGTAATCATTGATCATTCAATGAAGTTTCCGGTCAATGCTATACTGCAGTCAACAAAGCTAATCAAACACTGCTCTAGGCTGCACCTCCAGGGTATTTGATTATAAAAATAAGTCAAATCCACTAACCTTGTACAGGTCACTGGTCCTTTCTAATATGGTGTGCATTTTGGGGACTCCCTGAATTCACAAAGACATCGCAGAGCTGGAGAAGGTTCAGCGGATGTTCTGTTCTGGACAGGAGGGGAGGGTATGCAGGATCTTCCCTGGGCTGAAATGCCTTTAAGAAACCACATTCAGCAAAGCCAGGCTTACAGTATTCCAACGGAAACTTGGTTGGCAGTGTGGACACAACTTCAAACCTGAAAGCCAAATCTCTGGCGCGTAGGACAATCAAAGCAAGGAAGTTCTATACTGCGTGGTTGCCCATTTAACTTTTATGCCCGAGCAAAAACAATTTAAATTTAGTAAAGAACATTGTGCAACTACAAACAATAAGCTCTATCCCGACAGAATGCACATTGCCCCCAGCCACTTACACAGTCAGCCCAGAATACTTACTTGTAAGTGATGTATACCCTATATAACGCCAAACTCAAGCTTCAAAATACCTTAGCCAGTCTTTTGTGTCTTCACAGCTGGAAACAGTTGCTCACTGTGGCAGCAGTCTGCACAAGACGTGCATGCTATAGTACTTGATCTCAGCAGCACACCATACCTTCATTCATCAACACAGTCAAAGGGAAAGTATTCTGCAATTCATCTCATGGAATCAAGCCTCAGTCAATTCTTAAGGATCTAAGAAGCATTTTAGACTGCTTGCATACAACGCTGGATAGGTGCTAACCCTCATGAGAAAGAAATGTTCTTAATCATTTTCTAATCTAATTCATTACTTGAAGCTTCAAAAAAAGTTATGAAGTTATTGTAAAGGCAAAGCACAGCAACAATCACAACTAGTGCACATGGGCAAAGATACTGAAGGATACTTTCATAGAGTAATATTATCACAATTTGTAAAACCAAACAGTGAAGGTTATGGTTCCACACTGCAGACAGTAGTTAAGCATTGGGGTGATTTATATTACAGCTAGTGTTTAAACAAAATGTTGGGAGAAATTGTTTTAAATGTATATTTACCTTTTTAAACTATAAAGCTTTGTTTAAAAAAAACATAAAAGTTTAAGGCGGTTCCCAAAAGGCTTGTGTGTAGCAAGACGCCTTCCTTTAATACAATAGTGACGGTGAAAATGTGATAGCAAAAAATAAACACAGGGAAGAGGAGCCCTCGGGAATACTATATAGTACCGTACTGGAGTCCTGTAGCATATTGGTCAGAGCACTCGTCTTGCAAGCGAGAGGATCCAGGTTCAATTCCCGAGCGGGACGAAACCTCAAGCAAGATTCCTTACCGTCCACGCTTCTGTTTACTCAGCAGTGAGTAGGAACTTGGTTGTTAGTCGATCGGCGGATCGCTTTCCGGAGGTAATAACCCTTCAAAAAAAATGTGGACACTCAATCCAGAACTGTTTGTGGGACGCTGCTGTGCTCAATTGGCTGCCGCATTTGCTCACAAAAAATGCAGTCAGTTCACTGTACGATGTATTCTGCGAAGTGCTTTGAGACGTCTCGACGACGTGATAAGGCGCCAAATCAAATGCAAGGATTATTATGTTATCATTGCTGTTGGAAATGTGACTTTTCCTACAGCAAGTCTTCACGGGCAGATCGATGTGTGTGTCTATCCATCGCCAGTGTGCACGCAGCTGGCGTAAAGCACTGCAGACTGGATTTAGGGAGAAGAACTGAGCGGACAGAGAAGCATACACACTTTAAGAAGGAAACCAAAACAAAAATCACAGGCTCTCTCCCCCCCCTTCCATTAAACACAAATCATTTCAACTCTCTCTATCCCTGCCTCCACCAAATAATAAGACTTTTTTCTTTTTAAAAAAAAAGGAGAAAGAAAAACCAGATTTCTCTTTTTTTTCAAAAAAAAACCTCCACAACAAATCAAAGTAGAGAAACTGCTAAACAAAAGGTTCTCTCGTTTCAGAAGGGAAAGGAACCTTTTATTTATCACACTGACTGCAGCTTGGCTTCCTTTCTCAGATTCAATCACTTTATTTCTGGGTGGGATAAGGGGAGGGAGAGAGACGTTGATAACTGTTGGAACTATTGCAACCAATAATCACAAGAAAATTAATGAATACCCACAGGAAGAGATCAGTCCTTGTCAGGCAAAGGATGGGAGACTGAGAAGGTGCTGGATCAGTTGAACAAAAAGCTCTCTCTGGGTATAATATATATATTTTATATATATATATATATATTATATATATATATATATATATATATGGATATTTCGCCCCTAGTGATGACTCCTTCAGGTCACGTCTTGCCTCGGGTGTTGGTGTTGGGTCTGAAGGTGGTGATCAGCCCACAGATGAGGAGGGGATGAGAGGAGAGGAGGAGAGCAGAGCTGTGACTTCTGCTGCTTCTCTCTCCAACACCAACACCGCACAGTCTGTCACCAACTCCACGACTTCACACCCCCCCCCCACAATGTATCCGCACCCAATCCCCCCACTCAGCCTGCAACCCCCCCCAACCCCCCCACTCAGCCTGCAACCCCCCCCACTCAGCCTGCAACCCCCCCCACTCAGCCTGCAACCCCCCCCACTCAGCCTGCAACCCCCCCAATCCCCCCACTCAGCCTGCAACCCCCCCAATCCCCCACTCAGCCTGCAACCCCCCCACTCAGCTTGCAACCCCCCAATCCCCCCACTCAGCCTGCAACCCCCCCACTCAGCCTGCAACCCCCCCACTCAGCTTGCAACCCACCCAACCCCCCACTCAGCTTGCAACCCACCCAATCCCCCCACTCAGCCTGCAACCCCCCCAACCCCCCACTCAGCCTGCAACCCCCCAATCCCCCCACTCAGCCTGCAACCCCCCCAATCCCCCCACTCAGCCTGCAACCCCCCACAGACACAGACACCCCCCCACTCAGCCTGCAACCCCCCAATCCCCCACTCAGCCTGCAACCCCCCAGACACACAGACAGAACCCCCCCCACTCAGCCTGCAAACCCCCCCTCTTTCCCTTAACACAGTCACACAGATCCCCCCCACACACACACACACAACAACAGACCCACAGAGAGACGCCCCCCACCCCCCACAGCAAACCTACCCCCTGACACACACAGACAGACACACAGACACAGACAGACAGCCCCAGCCTTCTGCAAACTTACCTCTCTCCCCCCCCCCACACCCCCTCCTCCTTATGATCCTGTTCCAGGGCAATCACCTCTGTGTGTGTGTGTGTGTCTCTCTCTCTCTCTGTGTGTGTGTCCGTCTTTCTCTTCTGGAGACTCGGATCCCTGTGACTCGCTGCCGATCAGCTGAAATAGTAAAGGAAGTGCCTTGTCACTTCCTGGACTCTCTGCGATTATAAATGCATGAGTTTCCCCCCCCCACCCCACCCCCCCCAACACCCCCCCACTCCCACCCCCAACCCTCACTCGCACTCTCGTCTTATCCCGAAGGAGTTGTTTCGCCCGCACAACGCACAGTCACTCCGCTTTACCCCATAGCCCCCGCGCGAAGCGCTGTGAGGAGTCGCGCCGCAGCGATAAGGCGCTGCATCGAATGCAAGGATTGTTGTTGTTATTGTTGTTGTTGTTGTTGTTGTTATTAAACGGTACTGTTTGCCGTCGGGGACCCGCCCGCCCGCCCTTTCCTCGCTGTGTGGTTATTGCTATCGGTTCGACAAACGGCAGATGCTTTTAACTCGGTCGGAATGGGTGTAACAAAAAGTCAACGGGGACCCGGTCCTGATTTATTTCAGGGTTTAAAATTGACCTCCTTTTCTCTCTCCTCCTAACAACCCCCCCACCCCCCCTCACACGCACGCACACGCACCCCCCCCCCCCCACCACACACACACTCTCAGTACACACACGCTCGCACATACAGTACAAATACTCACACTGACTCTCTGAGTAAGGAGGTGAGACGGTGCCGCGATCCAAGGCACTCAGTGCTGCAAAATACTCCACAGATTGTTCTGCGAAGTGGTTCGGAGTTAAAGGGAACACTGGGAAAGCAGTAACTGAGCGGCGTACTCGGAGGATTTTTTTTTGTGGTTAATTACCTTCCTCTTCCCCCCACCTCCCCCTCCCCCCCCCACCCACCCACCCACCCTGCTGTTTATTCAATACTGATGTTAAAAATAGCTGAGGGCTAAAGAGTCATCTATAATTATCGTTTAGTTGTCACAGGATTATATGCAGAGTGTACATGCAGACCACCCCCACCTCACCCCCCCCCACCCAACTGTTTGCACTCTTATCAGAAGATCACAAGATTGGTCTGGTTCTTAAGAGAATCTGCTTTCCATTTGACCTCCTTGAAAGCAAGAAAAACAATGTGCGCCACGCAGGACACGATACGATATTCTGCGCATCTCCTTTAAACAAAATTGCGGAGCAACTCGTTGTTTCGGTTTTTCGCGCGCGGTCGAAGAGGGATGTCTTGAGGCTGGGGATTGAGGGAGAGAGTTCCAGACTTTTGGGGAACAGCGGCTGAAAGCACGGCCACCGATGGTGGAACAGCAGTCAGGAGAGCCAGTTGAGCGGAGAAATGGGTAGTGGGATGGGGAGTAGGAATGTCGAAGATAAACTAAGAAAGTCCCAGATTTGATCCCTGACCTCTGCTCAACCTATCTCAACTCAGGCAAGCTGGGACTTGGAGCAATATAATTGCCTTGATGGGTGTTCCCAGGGTACAGATCACCCATGGGCTGTGTGAGTGACCACTCAATCTTGTACATAATTGCTCACTTGCACAATGTGTCAGTGATCTGTTGGCACACACGCTGACATGCGTCATTGCCATTTGGAGAGAATTGTAATGACCGGGGAAAAAGGGTGATTTAAAAAATAAATAATAATAATCAATGCTGTCCTCACCCAGCAGCCACGCACACACACACACACATACACTGCCGTGTGATTTATTTTTTACACCTCTTTAGTTCAGGAGTTCTGAGGATAAGCACAATGCCACTACAGCTGGCACGTTGGCTGAGGTCAGTTATCTCAGCGCAGACCAGGCCAGGGATTGAACCTGGGAACTTCCTGTCAATGCTGCGTTTCGCCCACGAAATGCACTTTTCAACGTATTCTGTGAAGCGCTTTGATACGTCTCGAAGACATAATGAGGTGCTATATCAAATGCAAGGATTATTATTATTATTATTCCATAGTTCAGCACATTTCAACCTCAGCAATGGCATCAACATTGGCACCATGATTGGCTTGAGCTGCCAATCTCAGGAACAGAACATGGCTCATCTGCACTGGTCAGTAAATTCATCATTTTATTTTATTGCTTTTAATTGCAGAAAACCCAGGATATTTTAGTGAAGATATTTTTTCCCCAAATCAACAAACCTATAACTTGCCACTGTGCAAGGCTATGAATCCGAAAATAAATTCTACTGACAATAGTATACGAAACATCCTTAGATGTATACCATTCCCACGATCTTGTTGAATACCCAGTTCTTTAAATCTATTTATTAGTTAATGCCTTCTATTTAAATCCACACTTATAATTATGCTCCTAAAATGCTAACAATCACAATGCCCACTCAATGAAAATACTTTATTTAAAGTGCTATGATGATGGACTGTACTGAGATGGACATGTTGTGTACAAGTCTGACAGCCTAACAGATTGGTTCAATAATTTTAAGAGTTGAAGGCTTAAAAGGATTATGTTTTAAGGCTGTTTTAGGTGGCTTAGTTCAAGCGAGATTTCAGCACTCAAAGTAGAAAACAGAGTAAGCGTTTAAAGTAATGATGTGGTTGGCAATCGGTTTAACACATAAGTAGATATAATTTAGATCAATAATGACCTAGCTTTGTGATTTTCAGGGTGTTTGGATGAGAGTGGTTGGATGTGATGGGGTACCAAATGAGTTGCATTTTTATAGTACCTTAGTTATCACATCTAAACATATCAAAGTGCTTTACAGCAATTACTGTCAAGTACAGTAGCTGCTTTTCTAGCAGAGGCTAGATCCCACAAACAGTGAACAGCCATGAGGTGAATGATTAATTATCTGGGGGATTGATGAACACTGGGAAAAAAAATCCCTTTTCTTTGCAAATATTGCCATAGGGTCTTTAATGTGCACCTGAACACCACACAGATGGGACCTCAATGTAATGTCCCATCTAAAGGATGGCATCTCTGACAATTCAGTGGTTCCCCGGGCAGCTTATGCTATGAGCTCAAGTTCTGATGTGAGACTTGAACCTATTGCTTTGTGACCCAATAGTAAGAGCTTTACCTAATGAGCCAAGCTGATACTTTTATGGTGGAGTGCGTTTTTCCTTTTACTAGCCAAGAGACACAAAACCAAATGCACCCCTCGCACCCCTATCCCCTCCCCTATTGCCAGAACTACTGAGATTGACTAACTGAGCACAGCACAGACCAAGGATTGAACCTGGGACATTCTCAGTCTGTAGGGTCCACTACTACACTGTATCATCTTTGAATCCTTTCTTTTTTTTCTTGTGAAGCTTTAGTGCGTTCCTCTTTTTACTCTATCTTACCTTCCTGAAGTTTCCACTGAATCTCACTGGTGCACTGAGAACACTGCTGAACATCTATGAAATAATCCATGTTTTTGACACATTTCAACAGAATCTTTTCTTCTGTTTTCCATACATCGTGGTTTTAAAAACTATTTTGACATTTGTGGATTACCCCTCGTGCTTTGCTAATGAATATTTAAACACCAGATTTCAATATATTGCTGTGAAATAACAATAACGTAATAATAATTCTTGGATTTGATAGGGTGCCTTACCACGTCACTGAGACATCTCAAAGCGCTTCACAGAATTACTGTAAAGTGGATAGACTCTTTATTTTGTAGGCAAAATATGGCAGCCCATTGCGCACAGAAGTGTCCCACAATCAGTCGTGGATTGAGTGACTGGATTTTGTTTTGGAGGGCTTATTACCTTACTGTTAGGTAAACAGAGGCGAGTGGAGCAAGGAAACTGGCCTAAGGTTTGAAATCAGTCAAAAGAGTCATCGGCCTTCATTTGGTTGACTGCAATATCTATGGCAAATTTCAGGCAGACATTTCAAAGCTGTTCCAGCCCGAGTAAAGCATTGTGCCCCAAATCGATTGACAGAATCAATGTGTACAATCCAATTTTTTCACAGCCATTATTTTCTTCCAATAGAATGTATTGACTTTTGTGCGTGCAAGAACTAATATCAAATTGGAAAAGTCATTATCCATTTCTGATCTAGCTTTAATCAGTGTTCATTCAAAAACCTGGTCAATGATTCTTTCAGTAAACTGACAGCTGGAGAACATAACTGGGGAATGGAAATAATTTCTCACCAATTGATTTTAGCAAACAAGGTTTATTATTACTGGAGCAACTTTTGATACCAAATTGGAAAAAAAACAATATCTGTTCATACTGGACAACAATTTACTACCATTTAACAGGCTGCAACAATATATAATCTAACTATTGTTTTTCTTCTGTCGATGCGTAGCATTTAGTGCCACAGCAGTGCGTTTGTCCATTAAATCATAATTTTAAAACTTACTGTTCCCACAACAACAGCAATTTTACATTTATACAGTGCCTTTCATGCCGGTAGGGCATCCCAAAGCACTTCGCTGAGCTGGCTGGGAGACCAAAAAGAGAGGTGTGAGAAAAGTGACCAAAAAGCAGTTAAAAAGAAAGATCTCAAAGTACATTACTAATATAGATCCACAGATGTAAATATAGTGCCTCTCATACTGTGTCAGTGTGTATCAACTCAACCCCTTGTGAAGGGCGCAAAATAAATGCAAGTTGCTGCTGTTGTCGTAATTGTGTGAGTTTTTATATTGTTCATCAGAAATCTGCTCAGTTCTGATCTTTGCTGAATTACAGTAGAGATGTGATTGCAAACTTTTTTTTCCTTCTCCCCTTCAACAACTCTCTTTATTTTCCTTTTTCAAATCTTTTCTTTTTATTTGGCTTATCTTCCCAAATGTATCTTCACTTTTCATAATTTCATCTTACTTGAATTAACCCTTGGAGAATGTTACCGATAAAATAAAACATGTGTGCACGTGGGAGTGGGAGTGGGAATAAAGTCTTTGTTTGAAATGCAGGGACCTTGGTTATCCAAACCCAGATCTTAAAGAAAATATAGTCTTGTCCCAAGTAAACAGAATGGAATGGAGACAGGAATATTGATGTATCTTCATAGAGGCGATGTGGGACTTTAGTGCTGTGCGAATGTTCCAAACTGTTCCCATGTTTGACAAAGACAATTTGCAGCATTGAAAAGAAATCAATGTTAGACTGTTTTGATTCATCTGCTATTGGGGCATTTAGGGGGAAACAGAGATACAATACAAAATTACATTTATATATAGTGCCTTTCACGTCTTGAGGACATCCCAAGAAATAAAGCTCGAGCTATCCATGTGGCCACTGGAAAATATATAACACTTGAAAGCAGAGGGATTAACAAAGTGCTTTATGTCTAACTATTAATTCATTGCCAATCCTCCTTGTGCCATCGTTATGTCCTGTTGTCAAAAGTGTTACAAAAGCGGCAATTCGTATTGGCATCGTGTCAATAGAGCAAATCACAGCCATGAATCTTTGAGTAAATTGTTATTCTATTTATTAAATGAATATTAGAAAACAAGTGTATGTATTTCAACACAGCAAATAGCAGCAACTGTTCTATTTTAGTTCGCAAGGAACAGGAGTGCCATTATTCCCAGCTTGGGAGCAATGTTTCAGTCTTTCTTCACCATCAAATTAGAATTGGTAGTAATTATCATTATCACCTATGGTATTCCTCCCCCTCTCATAAATTGACAAGTATTGTTTTAAGCAAATGTACTGTTTGCAATCGTCTTCACCAACATGCCCGTCAACCTGATAATGACAATAGCCGGGTTGTGTGTGTGTCTCTATTTGACAGCTTTTGTGGTAGATTTTCTTCTTCATTTGTGAGTTTTCTCTTCATGTTTGTGTAGTAGTTTAGATAAAAAGCAAAATGCAAGATTTGTAATATGCTTTTTAATAATGAAAATATTTCCAAAGCGTGTTAAATCATGGG